CAGCTTGTTGTCCTGCTTGCTTCAGAGTGCGGACATTGAACGCGGCCAGATAGACTGGGTGTCGAGGCTTGAGGACTGATTTGGAGATTCCTGAAGACGTCGGCACTATGTGACGAGTAGATGCTGAACGGAAACCCGATGTATGACGAACGGAGTAATCAGTCCTTAGTGCTAGGCCTACAGGGAGAGAGTTATTAATGGGGTAGGGCGAGCGGGGAAGAAAAAGTATGTGAAGGAGAAAGAAGGGAGGCGTCAGCTGTAGCCTGTTTTCGCTTACCCGCCCTGGTCCTCAACGAAAGCCTTTGGCTCAAAAGCTTAACCGCAAGGCAGCGATGTTTGGCGAGAAATGCAAATGTATTACCATTTCTACGGAACAAGTCGCCACATGTTCCCCCACCCAACCTGTCACGGGACGCTCTCCAATATAGCTCAATGGATCGCTGAGGTGCGCGAACCGTCACACCACGGTAAGGTCCTCTTCGTGACAGTCGCCACATGTTCCAACCCCCAACCTGTCACGGGACGCTCTCCAATATAGCTCAATGGATCGCTGAGGTGCGCGAACCGTCACACCACGGTAAGGTCCAGTCTCTTCGTGACGGACAGTTTTACTACCGATCTTTCGTAACTTTTTCACCGTATAGCGGTGTACTATGGTGCGTTTACCACGTTATCGTGTATTGGAATAGTAGTAGCTTGGGTGCGCTTATTATTAGCTGATCATTGGTGGTTGATCCGTTCACTGAGGTAGCTGTTGGACTTAAAATATCCCATCACCATTAAAAGAGACATCAGCTTGCGATAGTTGAATGGACGGTCTGTCTATTCGCGCTGCCGTCCAGTGAATTCTTTATGTTGAGGGCAGCATTTAGAGAAATTAGAACCATTATGAAGTCCTGACAGATAATCGCCAGTCCCCGCTTTGCACAGTAACGTCTTTAAATAGGTTGTTGTTTTACCACAACCTGTTAGTGCTCAGATCCGCTCTCACGGTAATTACCAAGGCTGATTAAACGTACTGGGACGAATGGAGGATGTCTTCATCCCTGAACTTTTCACATAGTTCATCCGATCACCCTAATCTTGAAGCTAGAAAACCAATCTGGTTCTCATGAGCTTTCACTGTGCATTTAGTTCTAATCCCGTGGACACATTGAGTTCACAAGTCTTGTGAGGACGTGACGTAGCCTGGTGCTTATGTAATAGCCATAATCCTTCAGCTGTCGTGCAGCGTAAGGAAAGCCCGGGCGCTAGTAGTTGCCCAAAACTAGACAAAAGTCGGGGTCGACATCGAACTATGCACATTTTGGTTGGTAAATTTTCGCACTAATCTCGAGTTTGAGACACCTGTGTTGATAAAATTGATGTGATTTGAATCCCTGCTATCAATATTTCGTCAAATATTGCAGCCCCGGAACGCCACTTTTTTGTGGGCATTATGGACTTTTTTCATAACCGAATTTCGTTAATTTCCAGAACTGTTTCAAAGAGAAATGAACTGGTTTCTGTGAAACATGGCTACGGAGATTCGGGCGCTCAGTTGTTCGGCCTCTCAAAGGAAGCGATTGGCGAAACTACAGGCTAAAAAAGCCAAACGGAAACTTGAGAAGGCAAGAAAAAGGGAGGTGAACCGTGAGAATGTGTGCCGTCTTGCTGAGGAGGGTTCCTATATTAGTAAGCGTCAGTTAAAGAGAAACTTGGATGTCAAAATCCGCCAGGCCTTCGATGTTGGGGTGAAGTTATGTATCGACTGTAGCTATGAATCTTGCATGTCTCAGAAGGTTAGCCTCACCATCAGATTTCCTACATTCCGTGCCCTAGGAATGCAACAAATTTGCACAACAGCTCTGTCGTGCCTACGGGGCGAACCGTAAGCACAACAACCCTGTCAGTTTGCATTTGGTGAATTTCTTATCTTCTGGACAAATCGCTGCTGCATGCAAGCGTAAATGTGATGGATTTGAACACTATGTGGTAAGTTCGACTCTTGTTCATTTGAACTTCACTCTTTTACACTGCGTTTTTCAATACAATGCTGCTCCTTAAGCAGGAGCTGAGAGAGCAATGGCTCAGTCTCAAGGACGTTAGTATTGCTGGAGGTAGACACTTTTCAAGAGGGCTGTTTGGTTCGACGCCATAGCCGATCCGCCGAGTCTTGACCTCTTGGGCTAATTGATGCTGTTGGGCCAGTACAAGAACATACTTTGGGGTGTTTATTTCGAAGTGCAGACATTTCTGATATGGATCATCCAGGACGGAGAATCAGCTTACTGAAGACACTAACAAAGAACTGTAAGGGTTGCCACTTCTTTGCTTACTTCATTCAGTTAGTTCCGTTATGCACCGGGTAAAGGCATCCCCAAAATGGCGTCCTAACCAGCATTATACCAGTTCACTCTGAAATGTGGAGCGTCTACCAGCGTGACAACAAAACCAAGTGCAATTCAACTGGGATTTTTCGAGTAGCTTGAATCATCTTCTGGTCAACTGACTTCCCATAGGGTGATGCGAGTTGTGGGAGAAATATAGTCGCTCCACAAAAGTGGAAGCTTGTTGGCGGAATCTCAATCGGTCGGGCGATTGATAATGTTGAAAGAGTTGCCTTCTCGCTGTGTCCTATGCCAGATTTTGATACCCTGTTTACCACTAATCCAATGTAGTTATAGTTGCTGAATACCCTTCGACAGCCCGCAGTAACCTTATTAGTAGTGTCTGTCAGGCAAATTTATTTCGTTATTTTAATAGTATGCCATTTGAAACACGATTCGACCTTTGCTCAACACTTCACTTGACATGTATCATGAACTATGTGTTTACTTGAGTCCCTTATTAGCGTCAACAGAACTTACAAATGAGTTCATTTTGCTATATCCCTCAATACTTGTATACTACATTCTGTTTGTTGGGGCCATGAAGTAATACCTTTTTTGGTGTGTCTTCTCACCTTACTTCTTGCGCTGTGCGTTTCTCGCCTTTGAGTAAGACATGCGTTCGTAACGTGTGCGCGGTTTTCGCTAATTGCTTTAGGCAACAATCAATATGGCTGGCACCAAGTAGATCTTTGGAGTTTGGGACAGCAATGTCCTCCGCGTCACATGAAGACTCCTCGTTTGAGCCCGCCGTCCAAGTACTTCCAGCAATGTCCTCCGCGTCACATGAAGACTCCTCGTTTGAGCCCGCCGTCTCAAGTACTTCTTGTCCAGTTTCACGACTGCAGTAACTGTGGGATACTTTTCAGTTGTAAAAAAAACTGCATACGGATCTATCGTATGTTAAGTGAAATGTTCATTTCTACACCGAATTCAGGACAACGCCAACGGAGGGGCACGTAATGTGTAAGTCAGCAGAAGCGTACAGTGGAGATAGCGCGCGGTCTGCTGTTGATGCTGTTAGCCGTCCATGAGGTGACGCACATGGATGCTGCAGTGTACTGCTGCGATAGGTTTCTCGTCATCAGTTTCTGTCCACGGTGTATAAAGGTGTAGGCATCTCAGAGCGCTTGTGTCAGGGTGGCTTTATTTCATATTTTTCTCGTAATAAGGCACTCCAACTGTTCATGGTTGCGTGTCAGTGAACAACTGGTGCTCAGCATTGGTAGTGTGTTGTCGATGCTGCCATAGAATTGAGTTAGCATTTACGCCCTCCAAAATAGCAAATCCGTAACTTCCTAAAGAAGCTGATAAATGGTCTCGCCGTCGTGCTAGTTTATTTTCCTTACCCAGTGTCGAACCGTTCGCTTCTCGAAACCACATACCTTTGTTCTCCGAAAAATACTCCTCTCTGCAAATAGTACATTTACCACAGTTTCTTAGTGTTTTTGTTATAAAATTAAAAAAATACTTACCGAAAATACGACGTCGACCAAACAAACTTGGTAACTCTTCATGGTTTCTTAATTTGAACGGGCATCTTTATGAGCCAGAACCACGGAAATTAAATACTACTTCATTCTGCGATTTGAGCCCACTTATGCTAAAAAGCACTGCACAGCTCTTTCATTCTTGTTGGAAATCATTGGCAATGCGAATCCCATGAACCTCTACGAAGATTCGACCTTATAAACCTCCGAAGGAGTGGATCGGGATGTTGACCGTATTACGTGCCACAGCCGAGAGTAACATTGACAGAGTTGTTGCACTGAAAGCCTTAGGTACGTGATCAAATAGTTTCTTGTTTTACTCCTTCATAAGCTCCAGTTCTACGGGAAGAGTTCTTAGGAAAGTTTGAAAAACAAACTTTCCATGAAACGACCACTTATTGGTGGTAGATATAACCAGTGCCTTTATGACGCAACCTTGGAAGTAAAGTTTGATGTTATTTTGTCTAGTTAGCATAATGCTGAAGCTGGAATGATACAGTCCAGAGGCATGGTCAGGTAATTGAGGTCGGTGGGTTATGCGTACCAGGCCACCCGATGTGTATGGGCGGATATAGTCCGTATGTACACAAAGGGACTAACAGGCACATGCTCATGGTTGCAAACTGCTCATCCACAAAATACACTAACCGCCACTTTTCGATGGCACTTGATTAGGTTGCCCGAATTACCTTAAGCGTTGAATGATCATACCCTCGCTATTGGGATGGCCTGGTGGGGGGTCTTGAGGGTGAGGAAATTCTGGGTGGGGACATTTGGTCTGCTTCTTTGAGGAATTCGCCTATGCCATAAAATATTCACCCGATTTTGGTATAGTCTACAGCTGAACTGTCATTCTACCGTTGGAACAAGTAATGTCCAAACAGCGCATGTCAGCCAATCATGGTCTAGTTTCTTGTAAGTCACTGGAATCTGAATTCAGATTTGCTGTTTACTTACAGTTACCACAATTTTGATTCTCACGCAGTGTGACTAACATCTGTTCACTGCCAATGGAATTGGGGTCACCCTAATATACTCAAATTGAAACAAATCCCATGACTAAGTCGTACTACTCATGCTGAAAATTCTATTTGTTGGAAGCAGCCAGGCTGCATAATAACGTGACATATATGATAGTGCATACATAGTCCAGGAGACATGTCACCTTTTATCACAGTACTTATAGATCAAAACACATCGTAGGGTGATCTCACAGTTTCAACATTTCATCTGCCCGAGTCAGCCGAATCGTTGAGATTGTGACATTTTGTCCTTCAACGTAGGCGTTCAGACACTTTTCAATTACATTCCACATGGCACCCACATTCATTAATGGTATCCAGATCAACCATGATTCAGGTTACTGAAACTTCCCAGCTGTTGTTCCTGTCTATAAACTGATGACAAGTCACATTATCTGATTAACTCTAACAATCCATATTACCTTATTTCAACTTCCAAACCACTCATAAACGTTTTTATTGCCTCTCGTAGATTGGGAAACACTCGGACTTACCCCGCAGTGTGTTTGACAAGAACGTAATCTACCTGTCACCCGACGCCCCGGAGCCATTGCTGGACATATCAGACGACTGCGCTTACGTGATCGGCTGTCTGATTGATGAACATTTGATGAAGGTAAACGGCTTGGTCCAATATTTGATTTGAAGCGACCACAAAAAGTTCGGGTGCTTAAATGGAGATACTGCAACATGGCTAACAGCCGATGTAGGTTGTAAGCTGGAGATAGCTCAGTGGTTGATGCGCGAACTTACTAACCGGAAGGTCCGCGTTACGGACCCGACTTCGGCATCTCGAGCGCTCCTGTCTAGATTTGGGCGGCGTGACAGCATCTAAGCTCTCTTGCTTCCTTCGGGTGGAGCGGCAACTAGTTAGGAGAACCACTACTCCCGTCTTTCATTCCGTTTCTTCGCTGGATAAAACTCTGGTGCTATTGATGCGCTTAAAAATGTAAAGTGAATCAGTAAGGAAATCACTTTTTCTCATTGACATTTGACGCCGTACGCTTTAGTTGAAAAAGAGGAACTTCAACGAAACGAAGCGCCTTAGACAACTCTCTCATTTGTCTACTTCTTAGTGATTGAATGAAGTTAGGATTGAGGGAGTAACAATCAAATCGAGGCAATGCTGCTGTGCTGCAACCATGTTATTTAGAAAACATCTCGAAGTCATGGTGCTGACAAAAGCTCAAAACAAGAATTTGTTGATCCTTTTATAGCAATGGCTGTCATGTTTGACGATAGGGATGACAACTATCGAGTACCATCGTGAAGTATGTACATATGAAAGACCAAAATTGAATACAGGAACCATTTCAGACGGACTCTGATGACAGCCACCGGTTCTATGGAATTGTTCAATCCATTGAACGACAGTGAGATTACAAATAACGGGACCACCTCAGAAAATCTTTGATATCTAAAGCCTTCCATTCTCAGCCCTTTCCGGAATCTCTTTTGAATTTAATCTTTCCATTAGTTTCATGACTCACTTATGCGATACTTTGTTCAAGGAAACCAATATAACTATTGGAGTACACTCTTGATTTTGCGCTCGAAATGTAATGTTTCAGTCACCATTATTAACTTTTCCTCTGTGGTGGCTAGTGATCTGCTTTACACACATCCCAACTGGTCGTTTCGGTCACTGGTCGGACAGAAAATCTAACAGTTTAGCGCCAGCCGCTTGTCACATACTGCCTGGATCGTGCTTGTGGAGGCTTATAGTCCGTCCGCCGACCCTGAGATGAAATGTGCCTTTGGCTATTTCGTACAACCAATACCAACAGTCATTTTTCATTGGCTAAAATTATCTTACTGTATTTCAGGGGAAAAGTTTGGAAGAGGCGAACGCTCAACAATGTAAGGCTGTCCACTTGCCGATTCCCGAATTTATTGAATCGACCAACGGAAGCTTCAGGAGTCCCGTGCTAACCGTTAATCAGGTCGTGGAACTGATACTAGCGTACTTGGACAATGGTCGTGATTGGAAACAAGCTATTTTGTCCACTGTGCCCGGGCGTTTTCTTAAATGTATTTGATAGTGTTGTATGATAAAGTCTATTCTGACAGAATTTTCAAATTTCTAAGCTGTGGCTTGGAACATTGGGACGTTATATGTGTGCTCACTCAGGACAGTCTTGTGTGCATTGAGTTCTAAGATTGACTGGTCTGTGAGCCCCATTTTGACTTGGTTCTTCATTTCGGCCGTCATGTTGGCATAGGTGAGACTTCGAACTAACAACTAAACAGTTGTTTGTAGTATCGTCACTTAGTTCTGTTTTTCATGCGCAGCAGGGATGAAGTGATTTGCTTGCTCGTTGCTATACCCCTGTTCATTGGTGATAAATAAAATATGAACATGCAGCTTCACTTCGTAAAGGAGATGGTAACCACCGGTGTGTCCAATTCAGACATGAGCCGGCAGTGTCTGGGTTCAGTTAGTACCGCTTTCTAGCCTAATTTCCACTAATCCATTAAGGAATACGGTTCCCAAAACGCACGAATTTCGTGTCCGTACTATTTAGTGTGTCGGTACCATGTCCAATAAGCCATGCATGTTGGTTCCTGTTTCTTTTGGTCGGTTGGAAGTCCCAGAATGTCTGTCATTGTGATGGAGCTTGGATTTCGGTGATATTTCAAGCAAACCTGGATCAGGCACACGACCGTACAAGAGGCTAGAGTTAAAAATGCTATGAATGAAGTACGATGGACCATATCAATTTGAAACGGGTTTACACCACTTCTGCTTGGGCAGAATACTATCAAAGTCTACGTTATGGTAGTGCCCTCCGTGGACCACCGTATCCTAGGACTTGTCTGCTACTCCATTTGAATAAGAGAAAGGGAGATAGAGGATGTCTTGCCTCACACCACTGGATATGATGAACTTGCCTTAGATACGTACGCGCCCATGTAAAACGGTCATAAGAGACAGACTACCACATTTCGTGACGACCAACGGTGTCAAAAGATCTCAGATCGAGAGGGATAATCATTGTTGCTTGCCGGAGGGCGTGGTGCAGTCCCAACATTTCTAGAATGAAGATATGACCGATGTGACTCCGGTCAAGAGGAAACCCAGCTTGATTCTCGCAACTCACATTCCCGACAACGGTTAATCTTTCGTAGGGTAATACCAGAGAACACCCTGAAAGATATAGCCACTAGCCCGAAGACCCGGTGGTTTTCGGATTGCTCTACACCCTTTTTCAGGATGGGAATCATCGTCGACGCGCTCCGTTCTGTCTGCATTTTTTCCGCATTGCGCATCGTTTGCAGCAGGACCGTTAGGTTACTATGGACTCGCTAAATTTTTTGAAGAATGCAGGGTGCTTTAGTGTGCTGAGATTGCACACTGAGCTTCCGTCGGCGATGACGGACTGCTGTCCACATTCCACTCCGGTTCATTTCGTTCTTCCAGAGGATGAGTTGATGGGACCCAACTGAACTGTTTTTTAGTATTTAGCCCGTCGTTAAAGGCGACGTCTCTGTCAAGAAATTGAGGTCTCGCCTCTCTCGGAGACTGTTTCACTGACACCCACCCTTCTCGGATTATCTAGCGCGATCGTCCCCCGTTGCAAAAGCGTTCTGTATTTCTCCACCACCGCTCCCTAGCAATCCTTAGGCTGTTCAGTATTCGGTGTTTGGAATATCTGCAGGCACCATCATAGACGTTTGTTATTAGCCCGCCTTCGTGATGCGACCCAGCGTTCACTGGGGTGTATGAGCGACCTCGGATAGACAGTATCATGACTTTCCACTTTTCTCCAATTGTCATTTGAATCACCATTACAACCATTGTACACCCTCGGTTTTGGGGGCTTCTCGGTCAAGTCAACTCGATATCGTTACACTGCAGAGATGCTTCGCATCAGCCAACGTGTTCGTAACGGGAGGCGAACAGATGTCTGTGCGCGCACAATACCGTGACAAGACTCCAATGGTGTGCGCTGAAATGAACGACAACCTTGTATCGAGGCTTTGATCCAGTAGCTGACTGCCGCGTGGTTCAAAAGAACACAAGGCTGGTTTGCAGTTGATGGTCTTCAAGTTACACAGTGTGAACGCTTGTGCTGGCTAGAAATAATTGATATTCAGCACACAACTAGAGCTAACCTGTAACAGAAGTTAGCGCCAACTCTGAGTCGGCCGCCAACATAGGCTTCCTTAGGACCTAGTGGACCGACAAGAGCATCATATCACATGCCAGAACCACGATGTCATTTCTTCTGACCGAAGCAACTGTGATAAATATGTATAGTTGACTCTCTCAGCCAGAGCTGTCGTCCGTCGGAGCGTATGCTGACACAACAGGCAAACACCGTTCACCACATCGAGATACATTGGTCTTGACTAAATTAGTCAACCGAACAGCGCAAAGATGGTGATTAACTGGAACCCAGTCCACTCAGCCATGAGGCTAGGCGCAAGTCTCACACAGGAAATATCTTCAGCCATCGCATTGGGACCACCAGACACCCGAAAAGTAATGCGAGGAATCTGGACTCGTTCCGAGCGGTTTGAGGTGAATGGCCGAAGTGGGGTTTTGTGGGTGTTTCGGATACACAACAAACCTATTGAGAGAACAAGGTCCGAGGAAGAGCTACTTGGCGCCCAACTTGTCATACAGCACGCACGCTGAATACCCCGATATGAAACAAAACATTTGAATTCAGTGGTGGTTTAGTTTGATTTATTTTACTGGATGGAATCTAGGAAGCAGGGGTTAATTGATAGCTGGATGAGTCAAGATTTGGATGAATGACTGCGCAGAAGTCAACGAATGGAGAGCCGTAAGCGTAAATGATACTTCCTGGTTGCCCATGCCGAACAAGAGGTTTTTGGGTGAGATACCTCACGCTGAGTCCCCGATATAAAAGTCTGAGCGGGGAGGCAGTGGTTGTTAGGGTCTCCTGAGGAACCTTTTCCCAAAGTAAACGACTCAAATGTTTGCTCCACTTGGGTGCAAGGAACTGAACTGGCCTCATGACACCGGTAGAAAGGCATATATTTTTTACTCCCAGTACGACAGCGCATAGCAGTTACTTGAATAATGCGCCGGCGATCATGAACAGCCGTTGGGCGATCGGAGTGAGTTTTATAAATTCCCTTTTGTAACCTGTATTTCCTCAGAGGGAGATACCATCACAGCCTTCATAGAAATAGGGACTTTGGTCGCCTGGAGGATGCACCTTACTACCTTCATACTACTGTCGCAGAGGGAAGTACAGCCTTACGTGCAAACAGACTCGTGTTTTTCGCAGTATGGTTAATCGCTTTTCACCGGTCTGCTCCACGCTGCCATTCCTGGCATTATTGAGGAATTGAGTTTCAACTAATATAGCCCGTAAGATCATTGCAACATAGAAGCTCGACCACCACAACAGGGTATTAGCTACGGTTGTTTCCAGTGCCTTCAGTGTAGACACCATATGAACCCAGGCAATCCAGGTTTTCAGTTGATAACCTCGACTACAGCACTATTCTTGGTGGTGTTTGGGAGCAATGATGGCTTTGAAGATGTCCATCTATTGATGGTGGAGGAAGTGTCCAAATCACTGGAGTTAACAATGTTGGATTTGCTGCTCGAGTCCAGTAACATCAAACCATTGATGGTAGACCTATTTGTTGGACGCACGGCCTCAAGAACGTATTCTCAAAGACTAGTGTTCAAAAAACTTCATTTCACAGGTATCTGAGGCGCGCAAGATTTGATAACAAACGGGTAAATTCAAACCTTAGTCTTGTGATTAATTTCTTTTTCTGTGCCATGGTACACATTTCAGTGGTAGGAACCTGAGTGCCAGAATCATCCAAGTAACTCGTGACCGTCCCTAACCTGGTCGTTCGGTAGTGGCTGTAAACGGCCCGTTAAAATTGAGCTCTGATGGTGGAAATTCTCTGGTTTACCTGGTCACTATGCCTTCCACAAGTTTTCATCTTTTTGACAAATAAGACGTGCTTTGCATTTGTGCGGCGATGTCTATTCCTTAAGAGTAGCACTATGGAACGAATAATGTTTCCAAACCGAAGGCTGCACTTATTCGGGGATTCCACATACTCCGCAAACTCAGCGTGAGCAGCAAGTTTCAGAGGCAGGCAGAGAAATTTCAAACAGCATATCAATGATAAAGTTGAAGGGGATAGAGGATAGCCTTGTCTTACACCACTGGATGTGGTGAACTCAGGTCAGAGCTCCTCGTATACTTGCACGCACCCACAAGAGTTCGCACATAGTGCTCTCATAAGGGAGAGAAATTTGAAAGAGACATCTCTGATCGTCGGACACTCCCAAAGTTGCTGACGATCCATAAAATCAAAAGCAGCTTTCAAATCCAGAAAAACGTCCAACGTGGGACGTCTGAAGAAGTAGTGCTGTTTAAGAATGTCTCAAGGTAAAGATATGGTCGGTGCATCCTCGACCAGGGCGAAACCCAGCTTGGTTCTCACGAATCTGTCGCTTCCCTCAATTCCAACACGGGACAGCAAACGAACTTCTGATATCGTGTTGAAAGTTTATTTCCGTTAGGCGGAATTCCACACGGATCCCACTTTACCGCTCGCAGTCAGGTGCTGCTACGGCCGAGAAGCCTATCTCGCGCTAGATTAGCCAAAAGTTCGATGCTGGTCCGGCATCAAGCCAAGACCTGATTCGCCGAAAGTTCGGACCCAACATTCAATCACGACCCGATATTGGCCGAATGCTGGGTGTTAATACAGGTTGTGTATCTTTGGTGGTTGTTTTGACGCTATAGCTAGCTTCGAAGGCACAGACTGAGAACTAAACTGAGGAAAATACTGTTACAAAAATTTCATCATTTAAGTCAATGTGAAAGTGGTGACTATTCACCCGGGCATTTAAATGACTTGTCGAACTGTTCTTTCAAAAGGCACGAGTTTTTGGTTTGATCTACTGTTCATCATTTGTTTTCCTCGGGAACTGTCGCAATATCGCAGCAAGCATTCTCGCGCTCGTTGTACCTCTTCCTTAGGACAAGAAGTTTCCTGGTTTATGGCTTAAACGTAAACATAATTCGAGGAATCATCAACAAAACTTGTGGAATCCCCCGCGGCTATGCTTGGGTTCGCGGGTTTTCAGACCGCGTTTGTTCAAACACACATAATCGGCTGCGAAATGTAGGCATTCTACGTCTTGAGCTGCCCAGCTTGTTACAATAGCTTTCCATAAAAGGCCCCGGATGGCCAAGTTGGGAGGAAAATACGGGTTTGAATCACTAATGAAAATATTCAAATCGGCTTCCGGGACTCGTCCTGACAATCCTTGTATATGTTTAAACGTGACACACTGCTAATAATGTTTCTGAACTCTTTGGTGGCTCTCGTTATTTAGAACATCGTGCCAACTGAAACATGAGGCGACCTGGTGCAGCACATTCAGTTTAAAAAGAGTATCACAACCGAGGAACCCAGCGGAATCTCAAGTGAGTCACCGATGAAAACCGAATTGGTATGCAAACGAGTATTTACAGTAGGCATGTTGTTTTACAAATAGACAAAGACGAAGATGTCGTCCATCCGTCTGCAGTATTGTCCCAGATTGCTACAAGGCATGCGATGGCCGCAGGCGTCAACCACTTACCGATGGCGTTCGCTTAAAAGGTAATATGCGTTTACTCGACTGATTGTTTTTGTGTTACGTAAAAGTTCGTCTCAGTCAAGCGTACAAATGTGAAAAAACGCATGTTTATATCTTAGGAGTCTCATTAAACTGCAGCACTGACAATAGGCCCCAGTGTCAATTTACGCTATTCAATTAGATAAACATTGGCTTTGGAAATTAGACAATAACAAGTCGTAAGGTTAAAAAATACGATCGAATTCTCCAAATGCTTTCTAACTTGGCAAAACTGGTTCACCGAGAAAAGTCACATCTCCGATATGGTTAAACAATTGTGGAACCAATATTGTCCGCCTTATGGGATTGATAAAAAAGTGGTTACATGAATCCAGTTGATGTTGGTCCTCAGTTTTAATATACCAGATTCATTAGGAGTACAAGGTGTCACCCAGTTCAACCATAAAAGACAGATCGAACAAATCCCAACCGAAGGCTGTTTGCAGACATGCCATCCACTCCGAAACGTTCCCCTCAAACGAGCTGACAGTACGGCTGTGATAGAATAAAGGTGTGCGGATGGCTCCACAGTACACAGGCCAAATGCGCCAAAGCTGGACGCAATTCCCCCTTCCTTTTAAAGAACAAATATAAACCAAAGCAATCAGTTTATAAAGTATAAAACGTGATGGAATCCAAATCAAACGGAGATGTACAGTGTTCACAGCAGCCCCAATCCTGAGGTACATTCATTACATATATGAGCTATACGGAGTAATGAAAAGAAGAGAACACAACTTACGGTAGCTTGAATTTTATGAAAATCCTTAGTGTGATGAAGGAAATTACTATGCAGCTGATACCAAATGCCATCAATAACACGCGATTTAGTTTCGTAACACGCGCTTCATTCATCTTGTCCATCACAATGAAGCCAATACTCCCCAAAGTGAACATAAAACTTGCAGCAAGCCCTTCCAGTATATATTGGCTATTCATTCGCCAAACCATTATAGCTACCTAACAAGTATTATGAGTACAAGAATTTGACAACGGACTAACCGGTCTTTGATTTCCTCTGGCATCCGTTTCTGAACCCATACTGGGTGGACCAACGATCATGTCATAAATAACTCCTGAATTAGAAAGGTACAGAGAGAAAACCATGAAAAACTGCTCATTCGTAGATGTTAATGACTCCTGGAGAAAAATCTTGGACTTTGACGAAGTTTCCTTGTGGTTTGCAAACCCAGTGAAGTAAAACTGAACGTGACGACGTGTAAAACGGTTAAAACAACTGCAAGAGATAACCTGGATCGGCCTTCCTCCTTGCTTTATATCATGGTCTGTAGGGACGACAGCTGAAACAGCTGGATGTCTACGTGTGCGGATGCACAGATTAGGATAGCAGCAAGGTGCATCGAGGTGGGAATGTAATCGGCCAGTAACTATACGAATTCAGTCCAATGTCAATCGGCTAACTCTCAAAATATTTCGCTTTGCATAACCGAAGTTGGACACACGTTGCGGTAATCGAATAAGGAAGATCAGTTTGGCGAAATATACTCGTTTGCAAACTAATCACCTGGAACCCAGCTGAATCTTTTGTTTGTGATGTTTCCGTTTGTTTTGTTCAGCCATGCAGTTAAAACAATAGAAGCACTTCAGGTACACAAGGATCGACTGAAGCAACTGCGGAGGTGACTAAGAGAAGGACCCAGCAGTCACGCTGGAGTAAACAATGCAGAATTTAGAAAGGCGCCAAACAAGTTTGCGTACCAGTATAAGTCGACATTTCTTCGTCATCATCACCATCAATGAGAGAAATACAATTGTAGTACATACTAGTGCTTAACTACCATACAACAGTGGAACGAACGCAGATTTTCTTCTTCAGTTGACTAGCACTGAAGCACTGACTCAGTCACCCATCATTACCACGAAAGAACGTTGCTAATTAAGTTACATTGGCTGAATATACAGAAATTTCTTACATTCAAATCACTTAGGCCAAAGTAATTAATGTGAGTTCACCGCACTAATCAAGTCTAATATGACACACAGTCCTTAAAATCAAATCATCATGGGGAGCAAGGCACCGGTTGTAATTTTTGTTGCTTAAATATCATTCAAACAAGAATGTGGGTAGGGGAAATGGGGTGGTTAATTAGAGCAAAAGGATACATCCATGAAGTAAAGAACCGACGATTATACGTCAAATGAACCTCTATTTTGATATCCTCCAATAGAATATGCCGCATGCCGGTTCAGGTAGGCGGACATCATAAATAACGAAGAATTTTCCGTGATATGATACTACTGACAAGCCTGATGAAGACTTCGCGCCCGGATAAAATGCCGTCAGCGAGGTTAATCCGGTATCCATAGGAACTATGTCTAAGGAAAGCCTAGCGAACGATAAACAAACTTAAGCTATGTAGTAGCAGCACGCCTACCACTGTACATCCTGTGGGGACTGCAACCGCGTGCAGGATTGTCGCTGAGTCTCGACCAGGAAGACACGAAGACCCACAGTGCCCAAACCACAAGTAGCTACATCCATCTGAGATACCGGCATTCGGAAGCAGTCTGTCGTATTTCCCATGTCTGTTGACATCTGGAGGGATAAATTTACTAAAGAAGATACCGAGGCTACTGAAAGGCCAAAGTATGGCGTATAACAAAACCTAGGTTGTTAGTGCCTAACAATATCAAACTAGACTTGAAATATATACATATGGGCTACGAGAACTAAAAAGGTAATAGTTACATCAACCCCATGCAAGTCTCATGCGTTGTTCGTAATTTCGGTGTTATTGAACATGTAGTCCTGGTTTTGCTGCTATGCCGACTTTGCACCAAAATGTCTTGCGCAGAAGCTACCCATGAGAAATGGGCAACTAGCATCTCTGTGCAAAGCACAACCTTGTGACGAATTCCTTACACCATATATAAGCCAAGCTAGTCCACATTAGTTCTGACGCGACTGGTCATGTTATGCACACGGACATTGATACAATTCACGGCTGTCTAAAGCCGATAGCTCATTTCACCATAAAATACGTTGTGCTTCACTTGAAAGATAATTTTTTTAGCTCTGTAGGCTGTACTGTGGCTATAGTAACGCACACATGAGTCAAAAACGACTCTTTTCGTCATTCTGTGAAAAGCAACTGGATTGAGTCGAATTCAGTTTATCAGTTATAAACCGCGTACGAAGGATACATTGATACCAGCTATAGGATGCCACAGAATGTACGCCTCTTCATCGTTTCCACTCAGCACATTGCCTGTGGAATAGGCGGTCTTCTGATATTCCGTACCCTAACCAGCGTAAACCATTAAGTGTAAGCAACTCATCCAACCTCTTTTCTTTCTAAAACTATCTCCTGTACCTCAAATCTTGTACACTGCTAATACGGTTTTCCCATTAGGCTCGACCTATGCTTCGGAGACATTGAGTTTTGATCATGGAGAGCCTTCATATATTCCCTACATAAGACACGTTTCTGAACCACAAAACACCATAGATACACAGTTGCGCCGGGTTTCTTTTGCTGATCTCGGGTTGGTATCAATGTTCCACTGAGGCTCATTAGGTTCTTTCCGATATTCTGTTGATGAACAGTGTTGAATTATTCATCGCTTATGATCAACGATTGTGCGAACGAATGGTCGTTCTGTCGTTTTGTCCGTGGTCAGTAAATTCGCGCTCTAACCACTTGGTCCATCTCGCCCCCCCCCCATACAACCATGTCAATTTATGTGAATAAAGTTGAAAGAATAAATGGTGCGGTGTGGAAACCTGGGGCTGACCTACCAATAACATCCAAGTTGCCTACACCCACAATACTCAGTCAGACAATCTGGACAGAAATAGACAGCAAGAGTGCCGCTGACACCGGTTAGCCGCAGTGTCACCAGCCACGCAGGGGGAGGTCACGTGGACTCTATCCTGGGAAACAGCGCCCAAACCTTTCGCAGCATCCTTCATTCCTCTCTGCCATGCCAAATTCTGCCCACATTTCTGCCCAGAAAACTGGTCGTCAGGCAGTCTAGGTAGAAATTGACAACATGAACGCCAGTGATATTGATTAGCAGCCATATCTTGCAGCGTCTCCAACCAGGTGCAACGGGGATCGAGCGGTCCCCATCCTGTTGGACGAGTAGCACCGACAGCACCCAGACTTCTCGTAATCTCTTTCGCACACCCCTGCCAGGTCAAGGGTTGGCCGCCTCTCTGCTTCTGCCACTCTGTGTTAGGCATGGGAAACAGCACTCTCGTCGGCAAACGATGGTTCGGCATAAGCAACACATGTCCCAACCAACGCATCTTCTGGCGCTGGACACATTCTTCAATGGAAGTACCCGTTGATCAACCGAAAACTCGCTTTTTAACTGCCCCATTACGGATTCCCCGGCACTAACCCACAAGAGCTATGGTTCTGAGACGGTTGTCGAACGCCTGAAGGCGTCTCAGTTCCGCTGCTCGAATAGGCCAAGTCTCACAGCCATACCACAAAACAACCCGAACCGTATCTTGCTACACACGTCCTTTGAGATTCAGGGATATACCACTTTGACGCCATAGGTGTCTCAAATTAGCAAACACGACCTGAGTCTTGCAGATTCGTGCATTCACCTCATCTGTCACACCACAAGCAGAACTAATACAACTTCCAAGATACGTAAAACGTTCTACAACTTCCAGTACCTCTCCCTGGGTTTTAACAGGAGCGTTCAGTGACTGCGAGCCCACCAGCATGACCTCAAAGTTCGTGGGTGCAAAGAACTGGACGACTTTGGTCAGTTCATCCAAAAACGCCTGCGCCTTCTTCTCCTCTTCGAAGATGAGAACGATGTCGTCTGCACATTCCAAATCGACAAGGTTTTTGTCAAAGGCTATTTGAAAACCAGAGCTTTGAAGACCTTCCAGTGTTTGCTTCAGTATCTCATCGGTCAAGAAATGAAATAGGAATGGAGAAAGTGTGCACCACTGACAGACACCGCTTTATATACGGAAGCTTTTGGAGAGCTCGTTCTATAGTCTCACACATGCGGAAATGTGAGAATACATAAGACGTTATGCACTATGCAAAGAGGTGAAAATCTCGACCCAGTAAGAGTTCAGGTGAGACATTAAGAGGAGACTCTAGAAGAGATTCCGGTAAAATCGTCTAACGGGTGGATCTGTCAGTCTCTCACTTGCCAATCGACTAGTCCACACCTTACACGGTCCAGGGAAACGTAGGGTGAGGTGACTCCGGACGGGTGCGGGGTCAGGACCCACAAATGTGTCCCAGTCAGTTGTTGATCCGCGCCATCGGCAACTGATGGTAATGTGATCGATTTGAGTTTGTGGCCGGTGTACCGTCGAAGACACCATATGGCCAGACGATTTCATCTATTCGGGAAGTTCGTACTGTATAAAAACAGCCTGTGATCAGCACCCAACTGAACCAATAGTTCACAATTATCCGTACGTAACGAGCCCAATCCATATCGATCACCTAATTGAGCCTCGGATGCGCTATCTTGTACGTTTAGATCTCCGGTAACCACAAAGATATCTCGGCTTTCAGCTCACCGCAACAAAGCATCCAGGGCGTCGTAAAAATTGTCATTGATGGTGTCAAAGATACAGTCAGTAAGGCGTAAACAGACACGACAAACATACATTGGTCGACATTCCATTCGTAAGACTCCTTCACAGACGTTGCCAGACGAACCGCACAGAAGCAACTATCAACGGGTATACAGTCAAGCAAGGATACTTCCGCCCGGTGACTTAAGATGATACCAACTCCTGCACGCCCTGTCGCAAAAGCCTTTGGATCACCAGAGGTGCGCAGTCGGAAGCGAGTGGAGAGTGATGGGACGGTTGGTTCGACCACTGTGATTGCATCTTGAATTCTTGTTTCTGATACACAGTACACATCAATGCCAAGCGAGTCCAGTGTGACTTTTGTGTGCTTATTATTATACATCATCATCAAAGACACCAGTGTTGG